GGACCCTCTCAGCGGTACTTCCTCCCTAGGGCTGGTATGGAGGGGTGGAGCCAGAGTTGGCTCCGCAGGCTGAGGCTATGGCCACCCCATCTAGGGAAGGTTCACCTCCTGGGGCCTTTGGACTATGAGCAACAGAGGTTGTACAGGCTCACTGTCCTGCTGATTGACCATAGCCAAGACCAGGATCCCACCTGTCACCGCTCAGGCTCTTGTACCATTACCATTGAGGTTGAGGTAATTGATCCCCAAGGCCTTGAAAAGACTTGAAAGATGAATTCGAATTGCCCTCTGGAAGTCTGCTTTTCCACTTTGTGCCCCATTTCTTCCATTGGTTGGCTGGAGTGGGTGGGGCCTCATTGTGGAAAACTTTGGAGCCTGTTTCGGATTCCTATGCTCTGGCTGTAGTGGGAGGAAGCTGAGGGGCTAGCTAGGTTTGGGGAGTGAGTTGCGTCCACTCCTAACTTGGATGCTTTTCTGCAGGATGTGAATGACCATGCTCCTGAGTGTGACCCCCCATTTCAGGAACTCACCATCTATACTCCACTGGGCCGTAGCATAGAGGTGACAAAAGTGTCATGCTGGATCCCCCAGGAGCCACAGCGCCTGGCCTTCTCCTACAGCATCATGGGAGGTGGGGGCCATGGGGGCCACCAAGTTATAGGTGAGGGGCAGGCTAAGGCTGGCAGTGGTCCCCTCCTCCTGCCACTCTGCTTTCAGGGAATAGCCGGAGCCGATTCAGCCTGCAAGGGGCTGTCCTGGTGCACAATGACTTTGTGTTGGGGCCCCCCTGGCCAGAGCCGCCCTGTACCTATGAGCTATTGATCCGTGTGGCCGACGCAGGCCCCTCCATCCCCCACCTCAGCACCACAGCCACCATCACTGTGCATCTATTTCCCTGGAGCACCAGTACGGTGGCCACCAGCAACCACAGAATGACAGTGAGGGGGGTTCCTTCCTTGGGGGGTGGGGAGAACGGACCTTGATGGGTGAGGAGATCCAGTTTTTCAGGTGGAACAATGGGGGATGGCATTCCAGAGGAAACTGTTGACTGCAAAGAACCTGGCAATACAGAACAAATCTGGGGTGTGGGGCAGATGGAAAACCCATGGAGGGGTTTCAAGTCTGGATGGTCAGGGCATCTTGGCAGGGCAGTGGTGAGGCTGTGGTCCCCATTTCAGGTGCCCTCAATGATGCCACCCCTGCTCATGAAAAATACCGAGGCTTTCTGGCAGCCAGAGCCCTGGTTTGTGGTGGTGCTGACAGCAACTGGTGCCCTTCTCCTCTTGGCTCTGGGCTGGCTCCTCAGCAGGCTCCTCTGCAGGTAGGGTTCCTAGGCCTGTGCTCCCTGCCTCCCCCCAGCTCACCTGTGGACACTGGATGTGATAGGTGGCTTCACCCAAGATTTAATGACAATGTCCAAGTGATGGGCAGACAAACTGATATTGAGGAGGGCTTCCCTCCAACCAGAGGCCTTCAGATTAGTCAGAGAGACACTGGGAGGAAGAGGTCTCCATCTTTAGCAAAACCCAGTCTTGGAATGAGGTGGGTGTGGATGAAGCTCACAGCTTGAAACTCAGTCTGTTCTGTATTGGGCATTTACCCCTATTCCTTACCCTTGCTTTCCACTTGAAACCTGCCTTGCTCCTGTATTGCTCAGACTGAGGGTAAGAGGGTGGGTGGGTAACATTGAAGGCATTGCATACAAGACATTGGCTGTCTCCAATATTAAGGGATAGGTGAATGGTTCCTGGAGCCAGCAAGCATGCTGCCCTGTTCCTCCTCCTGGCATTTTAGGTTAGCGAAGGTGCTGCAGGCACCAAGCAAACCAGCCCAGGCTCTGCTGCTAAACTGGTCAGTCTCCTTTGCATACCTCTATGCCTGGGAGCCCATCTCTTAAACTCAGTCTGGGGCCTGCAGCTTTATCCTGTACTCCTGCTCTTACTTTGCCCCAGCATACAGAGAACTGAGGGGTCCATTGAGGGATTCATGGAGGCACCAAGGATGGAGATGTCCCAGGCCCCCAGCAGCATCATAAACCTGGTATGTCAACTCACCATCCTGAGTAGTGGGCACTGAGGCTACTCCAGAGTAGTCCCCTGCCCCAGCCAAACCTGCCCCCTTCCCTGTGAATGGCTACCCCTGTGGGAGACCCACACCAGCACCCTCAGGATGGAGGAAGCAGGTGGGCTCCTGGCCCCTCCAGGGGCAGGCCTCCATCTGCTCACCTGTGGGCAGGATTCAACTCATTGTATCCTCTTGTTCTTCCCCTCAGCAGCATTTTGATGGCAGAGCACAGTACTCCCGTGAGTCTCCCTCTTCTCAAACTAGCCTCTGCCTGGGCTCTAACCCCATCTCAGTGTCTCCTCCTCTCCTCACTCCATCTCAGTATCTCCTCCTACCACCAGACATCCACCATCTACTTTTTCCCTGAATGTGGTTTGCTTTCACCTCCACTCACCCTTTAGCCAACCTTCAGCCAAACACCTGTGGGGCCAGGAGATGACCCAGACCTGGTCTGTCCACAGAGGGAAGGGGATGGTGGTAAGGGAAGAAGCCCCCAGTTTCCCCAGTGTCACCAGTGAATTATGGCAGGGTAATCTGGCACTGGCCTCAGGAGAATTGGTGTCCAGTTTTGGAGACTCAAGGAGGCTTCCTGAGCATTTGAGTCAGACCTCAGAGAATTTCCTGAGAAGGGAGGAAGAGGACAAGTTAGATCCCATCAGAAAGGAGTTCGCACTGAGGGTTTTGGAATGCCTATCCTTACTCTTAGCGGAGGGAGGCAGTTCTGCTGAGGCTAGCAGGGCCCTCTCTCTCTCAGGTACAGGCAGAGACTACCTGTTCAACACACGGACAGGATCCCACCGCTGGCTCTGAGGCCAAGCAGCTGCTTCACTATGTGTCAAATTTCTTTTTCACATGATCATGGGTTGTCTTTTCAAGTTGATTCAATAATAAACAAAATTACAAACAGAAAAGTCCCAGCCTTGTAACCTATGTGTGGGAGAAGCTCTGAGATCTGTGCTTCCTTGTTCTCATTTGGAGAATGCACTACTTTGTGGGCACACTCTAGGGAGCAGTAAGGTTGTTTTTCTTTCTTTTTCTTCCTTTGGTGAGTTGCCGGTACAGGGATCAAACCCTATATTTTTCTTTTAAGAAGGCATTGTATGATGCTCTGACAGTGATTGACAGTCTGCAGAGATTAAAGGTTGTTATCCTTGTCCGTGACTGAGGGGGACTTCAGTCAGCCTTTCCCCTAGAGGCCACCTGCTTTTCCTACTGAGAGAACACTGTTGGTTTTTGAGGGTCTCACCAGACTTCAGAGCAGTTTTCCAAGTGTTTATGGAGGTTTCCTTGGGAAAGATCTGGAGGTTTTGCACTGGGAAGAGGGGTGGTATATACTTGAGAATCTGTGGCATAGCTGGCCCTGGAAGGACTGATTGAAGCCCTCTTCAGAGGGGTGTTCCCATTTCTTCCTGATCTGTTTCCTCTGGTTCCTCTGCCCTCCACTCTCCCTGTGCTGAGCTGAGCTCCCATAGGTGGACTATAGCAACCTGCAGGAAGGCAGGTCTTGCCGGGGGCAATGCTGGGTCCCTCCCCACACCCAGCCTGGCATCAGGTCTCCGGCTACTGCTAGCTCTCCAAGATGACCTGCTGTCTGGGTGGAGGCTAGCCTTACTGTGGTATCCCCAAGTCATCTCAATCTTCCCTCCTCTGTTAAGTTTGTGGGCCTGAATCCTCTCAGGGCACTGGAGGACCTCCCTTCCTGACCCAGTTATGGCATTCCAAGCCCAGGAAGAAGCTGAGTGCCTTCTGTGGGAAAAACACCCTGTCTGGGATTCCCACCAAAGTGAGTGTTAGACCAGGCCTCAGGGACAGCAACCTCGGACCACGTAGTTACAGGAAGTGGCTGTAGGAAGATTTTTCCTGAGTACTTATCCTGCTCTAGGGGCTCATTAAATCTGCATCTTTGAGAAGCTAGGCTTTTATCCTCATTTTACAGGTGGGGCAACCAAAGCTCAGAGAGGCTAGGGTTCAAAAGTCACAGTTAGGTAGTTGGGGCATTTGGGCATGGCCCCAGACCGGGTGTCTACATCTGGTATCCTAACCCTGAAAGGTGCTCAGGGTTAGGTGCTCTGGATAGAGAAGAAGGAAAGACCATCTTCCTGGGACTCTTTGCCTGCCTGTGAGGCAAGGCAGGTTATGACAGTCCAGGGCAAAAGATGCAGTTATAGAGACTCAAGATAAGAGGCTCTAGAGCAGAGAAGAGGGAGGGGCCGCTGCGTAACAGGGTTTGTGCTGGGGACTGAACTCCAGGCCCGAAAGCATGGGCAATGGGCCAGGGGCTGCTGGGCAGCACAGACAGCTGCACCTCGGGACTACTGATGGACGAAATTGGGGAAGCCGCTGGGAAGAGGCTCTGGAGCCAGTAGGAGGAGGTGTGAGACCTAGCGCCTCCACTTCCAGAAGTAGACTGACCTTGGCTTCCCATCTCTGAGCCTCAGTTTCCTCACCAGTGAACCGGAGACAACATCCCCTCCTTTCCAGGGTGGGTGACTAAAAAAGCAAATGGCACCCCGCTGACATTCCCTAAGTGTGCGCGCTTGTATGAGAAGACGCTGCCGGCTCCGCATGGGTGCTGCACGCTCATAGAAGCCAAGGGCGCTCCAGCGTCTGAGTAGCCAGCAGAATCTCCGCCACCAGCGACTCGAAGGACGGCGCGCATGCGCCAACCAGTGCCGTCACAGTCACGTGCCCCAGGCGTTCGGCATTGGCCGTGAGGGAGGCTCTGACTGACAGGTGACCTGACCTGTCAATGGTAAGCGCTTCTCTGGGCGTTGGGCCAACAGGCTGTTGATTGGGGATAGCCTCCGTCGGGGGCGGGCTCTTTGCCGTACTGGTTACTATGACGCCCGACCCCCGCCCCCTCGGCTGGCCGCCATCTTGTTGTTGATCCGTACCCAGTGGGCAGTGCCCGGAGCTGGACCGAGCGGCCGGTGTGGGGCCGCTGCTGTGGGGCTCAGCCATCTGCGCTGCCTGCCAGGGGGCGGGCCGAAACCTGGAGGCCCGGGGGGCCCAGCTCCCGTGGGGAGCCGTGGGCACCCGCTGTCCGGGCAGGGCCGGTGAGTGACAGGAGCCGGGCCTAAAGAACCGCCTGACGCCCGCGGTGAGGGAGCGGCGGGCACCGGGTTGGAAGGGGGCGCGCGTGGGTCCGGAGCTTTGGCCGAGCATCACTGGAACATCGCTCGAGCCTCCTGACCGGCTGCCCGCCGAGCCTCTCAGATGCTGGCGCCGAGGCCGGGGGACAGCAGGGGTGGAGGTCGGAGAGTCTGATGCCCGAGGGCGGGCCGGCCGGTTAGCGGGAAACCAGCTTCTGTGACCTGGGTTCCGCTGACCCGGAGCACTGAAGTGTGTCCAGTGCCAGCCTGCTGCTCTCTGGGGCGACGTGTTGCTCCCGGGTGGGAAATATATGTACATCTTTCTTAGATATCCCTCCTTTGAGTGATTTTCAGACAGCTTGAGATCAAGACTAGACGAAACAGGCCAAAGCCCCCTCGAGACAGGCAGGCCGGGTCACGGCCCTGTAATTTCGGCAGGGCGAAGACCCTCTGCATGACCTCTTTCTTTTGAGACCCGCTGGGAGTCTCACGTGCTCCCTGGAGCTCACCGTTTGCTTTCTCTAGAAGGGTCTGGTTAAATGTCCATAATACCTGAATTTTATTTTGGAACATATTTTCTTTGGTTCTCGACCATCATTTTTTCGGAGTGTGACAAAGTTTTCCTCTTTTTGCTTTAGGAGAAAGTATTATGTTGATGACGCGATTAATTTTACTTCCTAAAGAGATATTTCGTCAGTTTAATTAGGAGACAAAGGAAATGTAGGAGTGTGTTACAATGGGAAAAAGAAACGAAAAACTTGTTTTTGTTGTGGATAGTATTGAGCTGCCAAAATTAACTTAAATAGTACTAAATGTATCTTGGTCAGTGAAAACAGTCAGGCCCTTTTCCTGCGAGGGTGGGAGGGTTGGGGATCCCGGGCAGAGTGTGCCGGTCTAGGGAGAGTTCTGGTTCCAAAACACATTTCTCTTTACCTATGGTCCCTTGGCTTCTCCGCACAGGCATTTTGTGTGTGATCATACAGCATGCATGCATGAGATGACTTAGAAGTCAAGCTTCAATACTTTGTGCACTTCTGGTAGGGTATTTTCACCTCCAAATGTCTAATTTTGAAAGAAACTAGCTTCTTGGTCAGGAGATCCTTTTGGAGTGTAGATGCTAAAATCATAGGAGGGTGGCAGCTTATTGTTTTTCGCATGAGATTATACCTATGAGAAGAGGGAGAAGTTGAGTACTCTTTAGTTGGTTATTTCATTGCCCTCCCTTGAGGCCATTTTTTGAATGCTTATTGAGTTTTGATCTTGGTAAGCCCAGTTCTTGGGAAGTCTTGAAAAGAGAGGAGGGAGATACTAAAATAACAGAAGCTTCTCAAAATTGTCCCAAGCTACCTCCGTCTTCACCCCCGCCGGCTTTGATTAACGCTACTTTTAGAAAGTTAAGGCATGGGGCCAGCCCGTGGCTGACTTGGGAGAGTGTGGTATCGATGACACCAAGACCGTGGGTTCGGATCCCTATATAGGGATGGCCGGTTTGCTCACTTTGGAGAGCGTGGTGCTGACAACACTAAGTCAAGGGTTAGGATCCCCTTACCGGTCATCTTTTTTTTTAAAAAAAAAAAAAAGAAAGAAAGTTAAGGCAACCACAGGGTTGAATTCTTGCGGATTTCTGTTAAAATAACTCTTTAAAAAAAAAAAGAAAGAAAGAAAGTTAAGGCAACCACAGGGTTGAATTCTTGCGGATTTCTGTTAAAATAACTCTTATTTTGGATATTGGACCTCTTTGAGATGTAGAAAGACAAACTCTGTCTTTAGTCAAATTCACAACACTGACTTTTGCATACAAAAGGGGCTCAAGGGTCCATTAAATCGATCCATGCTCTAACCCTATATTAGAACCACTGTCCCAAAGAAATCATAGAATATCCAAGAACATTTATTTGCCTTTGTTTAATGCTTTTACTACCTCAAGAATATTTATAAGTAGTGGATGATGCTTGATTCAACATTGTTATTACCCAAAGATAGCTAATAGCAGTACTTCTGCATTGGGCATTTTTAGGCCCAAATGAGTGTGACTATTGTTATAATAACACACCTTCCATCCACTTTAATTACTTTATCTTTGCATAATTCCCTTAGCTTTTAACTGTTATGGCCAAGAGACATACTTCATGGACTATGGAGATACTGCACTACAGATGTTGAGAACTACAGCAGGCTTATGGGATGAGATCTGATGTCCTAATATACCATTCAAGGTGCTGCTGCCCAGTTGGCCCCAGCCCACCTCCTCAGGATTTATCCTAATTCCCACAAACCAAATGGTTTGCTAAACATTCCATATGTATTATTTCTCTACACAAGTCCTCTTGCCAGCTGAATCCATTGATCTTTGCCTGTTTGGGATGCTCTTTTCTTTCAGTTTCACTTCTCTTTTTTTCCAGCTCAGTTCCCACCTACCTTCTTTATGAAACACCCCCAAAACCCCACTCCCTCTGAACTGTAGTAGCATTATTGCCCTTAAATAAAAAACAAAAAAGTGTTTGCTTTTTCAGGAACAATTTTTTGTTTCTTGTGGTATGACCTAACCCTTTTCTGAAAGGGATTGTATTTTATACCTTTTAGTGTCTTTTTGTACCTTCATGTAGTAGATGAGAACCAAATGTTTATAAAGATGTACTAAATTTGTCTGAGTTGGAAACATCTGTAATTAAACAGGGAAATGGAAGGGAGTGGGCAAGTAGAAATGGGTGTTTGAGGCCGGCCCGTGGCTCACTCGGTAGAGTGCGGTGCTGATAACACCAAGGCAACGGGTTCGGATCCTATATAGGGATGGCCGGTTTGCTCACTGGCTGAGCGTGGTGCTGACAACACCAAGCCAAGGGTTGAGATCCCCTTACTGGTCATCTTTTAAAAAAAAAAAAAGAAATGGGTGTTTGCTGGCCATGGACCTCCACCTCCTACGCTGTCTGAAGTGCTTGCACATATTAACTCTAGTGCCTTACAGAGGCAGGCCCGTCCTCAGTGCCTCAGAACAGAGGCAGAACTTGCTCAAAGGACAGAACTAAGGCCTGAAAACAGAAAGTAATTCTGCATCTCAAAAGGGGCTGTGTGTGGCCGTCCTTCTTTCTGGCTAAAATACCAGTTTGGGGGCCGAGCCCGTGGCGCACTTGGGAGAGTGCAGCGCTGGGAAGCGTGGCAGTGCTCCCGCCGCGGGTTCGGATCCTATATAGGGATGACCGGTGCGCTCACAGCACTCACTGGCTGAGCTCGGTGAGGCTGGTCTCAAAAAGGACAAAAAAAAAAAACCAGTTTTGACTCTTGGTCAGCATGTTAGGTGAACATAACACGGGGTGCTAATATTCTTAGACACTTTTCTTAGTTGTCTTGGTCTCACTGCAGCCTTGGGCTGGTGTAAATGGTAGTATTTGCTGCCTGCCGCCCTCCCAGTGCTGCCCTGACACTATAAGGAGCAATGATGAGCAGAGCTGGGGAAAGGCTGCACAGTACACTCTGTCTCTGGCTTGGGGCAAGTAAGCAGTCATTTTATGTGTTTGTGGCACTGGATCTATACCTTTGCACTGATTTTAAATACACATTTTCATTTCTCCTACAGTAGGATTTGAGCAATGGATTCTGGGTGAGAACTAAGACATCTTGGTTATTTTTCGAAAGATGATAGACCTCATGTTTGCTGCTATGGTTCAAAGTATGTAGGGGGCATTACAAATGAGTTTTGATGGGAACTCCTGTTCACTTCAGTGCTGGATCCCTGTTAGGGTCTTTGTTTTGTTGAACGCTAAGGTAATTCACTTCTGATCTCTTCTGTAAAAGTTTTATTTGTAGGTTTAGTTCATTTATTCCTGTCCCCTCATTATACAAAAGGAGAGCAGGCCAGGGAAGCAGGTCTGGGACTGGACTCTTTTCAAGTCTAAAATTTGATGTCAGTGAATAAGAGCACCTTGAGGTCCATAAAAATATGGATGTATTATGATTAAATGAACAATTATTAAACAACTTATTGTATAATCAAAACGTCAGGTAATGACAAGTATTGATGTCGATGGGGATGTGGAGAAACTGGAGCCCTCATACATTGTTGATGGGAGTGTAAAATGGTGCAGCCTCTTTGCAGAACAGTCTGGCAGTTCCTTCAATGGTTAAACATATGGTAAATGAGTTACCGTGTGACCCAGTCATACCTCTCCTAGGTATCTATCCAAGAGAAATGAAAACACAAAACTTGTATGTGACTGTTTATAGCAGCATTATTCATAACAACCAAAGGGGGAATCCACCCAAATGTCCATCAACTGATGAATAGATAAATAAAATGTGGTTTATACATATAATAGAACGTTATTCTGCAATAAAAAGGAATGAAGTACTGATAATGCTACAGTGTCCTTGAAAACATGTTAAGCGAAAGAAGTCAGATGCAAAAGTCCTCATTTATATGATTCCATTTATATGAAATACCCAGAATATGCAGTTCTATAGAGACAGGAAGTAAATTAGTGGTTGCTTAGGGATTGGGTGTAGTTGGGGGGAATAGGGAAGTGATGCCTAGAGGGTATGGGATTTCTTTCTGAGGTGATGAAAATGTTCTAAAATTGTGATGGTTGTACGTATCTGTGAATATACTAAAAACCATTGAATTGTATATTTTAATGGGTGAATTGTATTACGTGTGAATTATATCTCAATAAAGCTGTTATTTAAAAACTTATTATATAAGCACTGTATATTCACTAGTAAAAAAGTAATATATGAGTAAACAAGAAATAAGAATAAAGGTTCATCAGTAACTTCACTGTTAGTATTTTAGTTTTTTCTGGGGGGGGGGGTGGCTGGTACGGGGAACTGAAACTATTAGTATTTTAGTGTATAACCAGACTTCTTTTCCTGTCAGACTTTTACAAAAGTGCGGTTATGCTATACATCCTAATTTTTGCCTTTTTGCAGTCAGCAGTATGTTATACACATCTGTGTTGGTAAAAGATGCA